TTCATAAGCTGTAAAATTAGAAGCTCAGACTGGTTCTATTCACTCCATCTCTTCTAGAAGATTTCAATGGTACCCTCGCGAAAAATTTATATAAACTATAGCTCAGTCGATTTGAAGAAAACAGAAAAAAAAGTTGGAAATGGATTTGAAAATTCATGAGCAAAACTCACTCCCAGTTAAAAATAATGATGCAATAAATATCAGAGTTTTGAGAGCTACATTATAGCAACAAGTTTGGAGATAATTGATGGAGGAATCTATCTATTAAAGTTCAAATTCAGAGCTCTGAAACTCGACTTGGCTAGCACAATTCAGGGCACCTCAAGATTTGGTTATTCTTCTGTTAGCCTCATTGAAGTTCAAGGATGAAGAATCAGCAAAGAAATTGGATTGAAAGATACTTTAGAATTGAATTCGAAGTTACATAATTATGAGTTATGGAGGAAGTTCAATAGAGGTTCTTTGGCTCTCTAAAGCTTGTCAAATGAGTGGAAATATCATCCTTTATTTATAGGGAAGTGATTGATGATAAGAAACGAGAGGAATTATGGGCAAATCGTGCAAACCAAGCCAACTGTGATCATGCCAAATGTGTGACTTGAAATGCCTCAAAACGACCTCATATCAAGTGCGATTCTTGGTAAATCGCATCTAGACAATTAGTTAAACATGTTTAGCAACTGAACCTTGAGTAATTTGACCCGTAATCCAAGTTTACTCATGGTATTTTTTTTACTTGAAGCAAAAACATATTCCATGGAGCCAACATCAATAATGTATAACTTACTACTCAAGGACCTTTATGGGATGATTCTTGAAGCATTTGAAAGACAAGGTTACAATCTTTACAATGTGACAAGAAAGACATCATTTGGATGATTGTCCAAAAATTTATGTCCAATTGAATTTGTGAAAAACACACAGGTGTTTTGTACTTAGAAAAATTCTAAGTGTTGAACTTCATAATGATCTATAATGTTCTTCAAAATTGCATGACCTTTCAATCAAAATTTGATCTTGGTATCTGAAGATGACATGAAGTGGACCTTTTGAATTAAAGTGTGGAATTGAGATCACTCAAAAATCATAAAAATTGAAAGAGTTATGATCTTTGGAAGATGATGAACAAATTTGGGGAATTCACAAAAGACCTATGATCTTTTCAATTCTTCAATAACTTCCTAAGCATCTTCAAGTCTTGCAGATAAAAAAAGTTATAGTAGACATCCCAAAGATTATTGTAGAAAAAGAATAGGCTCAATGTGACAAAAATTTACTAAGTTATGGTCATTTGAAGTCAAACGCTAAAATTCAAAGACCTTTCAAGGAGACTTGTAATCTTTCTCAATTATTAATGATCTTCCATTCAAAATTAGTCTTAGATCTCTGAAGAAAGCTTGTTAAGGGCCCTTTAAAGAGAATAATGGTTTTAAAGTCACTCAAAAATCTCAAAAAATGAGCATGATATGGTCCTTGGAAGTCAACAAACCCTAGCCCAGAGAGTGCCAAATGACTTAAAACCCCTTACAACTTTTGATGATTTTTCTTGCATAATTGGATCTTGTCATGTGAAGAGAGGTTGTTTTAGACGATGATAAGAATCCATAGAAAAAATAACCAACTTAAAATGTTGAAACTTCAGAGAGTTATACACTTATGAGCACTAAATCTAGTATTTTCTCAATTAGGTCAAACTTATTGAGCCAACTATGAATCTTTTTATCTTTCTTGGCAAAATAATGCATGATGAATCATAAGAGGCCTTGAAATGATGTTGTCTCAAAGCACACTCAAATATGGAGCTTAAGTCTCAATGAAACTTGTTGAAGAAGGCATGAAAATAAACACATGAACCTTTGAATCTTCTTGATGAATTTGTTTTATCTTTGAATATAAATGCAAAGAAATTTGCAAGCACTGTTTGGAGAGTTAATATTTTCATCAAGGTGTGTTTCAAATTAAATCGTATTCATTTTTGCTTCAGATTAAATCGCGTTCGTTTTTGCTTCAAATGCAATTGTGTTTTCGTTTTTGTTTCTCTGCCGTTTAAAAGGTTTTCACTTTGGTTAACAATGTTATAGATCGAAGAGGTGGAGGACGAGGAAGAACAAAGACATAGCCTTATCTAAAGATCAGTAATATAGAATAAAAGATCAATAACAAAAAAATATGCGATCTTTCAATTTTTTGCTACTCAATGCAGTTAATCTGAAAGGTCACACAGAGATGAAAAGTTTTTTAATAGAGATACGGGAACCCAATTTTTTTAACTTTCAAATCAAATTTTTTATTTTCTTAAATCTTAAAAGCAATTAAATGATAATTACAATAATAATGTCAAATTATCAATTAACGTAGACTTTATGAAATTATATTATTGAAATGAAATCATTATTATTGAATTGAAAACTAAATAATTCCTCAAAACTACTATTTAATTCTTAATTTTATTTCAACATCAAAGTTGAGTTTTAGTTTTTCTTAAGTCAATTTAGATAGGTGAAATAAATATTTTTAAACTATCTCTTTTATTCATCATACAATTAATATAAAAAATATATGCATATATTAAATTGTTATAGATAATTATTTATTAAATTATATGTAAAACTATATATTAAATTATTATTTGTAATTATTTGTTAAATTATAAGTAAAAAATGAATATATTTATAATACAATTAAAAGTCGGGTATTATTAGTAAGTTTATACCTAAAATTTTGAATTTTTATAAGAAATTAATATATATATATATATATATATATATATATATATATATATATATATATATATATATATATATATATATATATATTTATATATATTAAGTTGTATATAAAAAATAAATATTAAATTATTATTTAATATTATAATTGATTTTTTGACATTTTTAATTCTAATTTTTTATTTACCTACAAACATTTATACTATTAAATGTCAAAATTAATTAATTTTTATTTACCTATTTATAATTGTTCGATATTTTTAGAACAACAAGATTTTTGTTTTTTCTCTTTAATATATAAAATTTAATATTTCATTTATTTTATTTTTTAATTAAAGCATATCACATTTCAGTGGAGGTGTAGACTTGCAGATTTTTTAAAAACATTTCTCCATTTTTACTCTTGTTTTTTCTCTTTTCTATATAAAAATTTAATATTTCATTTATTTTATTTTTTAATTAAAGCATGTCACATTTCAGTCGAGGTGTAGATTTGCAAAAATTTTAAAACCAATTCTCCATTTTTACTCAAACAACCCGTCCTTTGTTCTCATTTTTTTAATCTTATTTTATTTTTAATTGTTATTATTTTTATAAACTAAGTTGAATTGATAAAATGGAAATGATATGGTGGCCACATAATTGCCAACACGACAGTAGAGCCTTTCATGATATTTAGATCTTATTTTATATTTTTTATTTAATTACTTATTATTATTTATTATTTTATTATTAATTATTAGAATTTAGTATTGAAAGAGTGAGTGAATGTCGAATGAGAGTATTGGTATATAATTTTTCATTTAAAAATATATGAATAATTAAGTTTTTTAAATAGAAATAGATTTTAAATATTTTTTATGAATAAACACACGAGTTTGAGGTGCTTATAAACGAGAAATATCTATATATTTGAACAATTATTTTTATATGAGATATCAGTTATAGACTGTTCATTTTAATATTTATCTTTTAAAATTTTCTTTTGCTATTTCTCAACTTAACAATTGTAAATTACTTATTGTAATGAAGATTCTTCTAGATATAGATTCACGAATAAATGTAAGCGTATCTATGAGATATCAATTATAAATTATTTATTTTAATGTCTATTTTTAAAAATTTTCTTTTACTATTATTTTATATAATTAAAATTAAAAAATCAATTATATGATTTATTATAAGTATGAATTAATACTTAAAAATTTATATAAATTATTTATCTATATTTTGTAATTATATCAATATTAGTCAATTGAAGTATAAATTCAAAATTTATAAATAAATATTTAATATAGGTATAATATAAATCCAAATAAAACGTATGGGATAGCACAGAACAATTTAGTGAAAATTTAATTAGTACTCCTACTTGCTATGTGATCAGTCACCTACGTCAAAGGAATTTGGTAAGGATAGCTTACAAATTCCTCATTTCCAACTGCTAAAGTAACATTATTTAATCCGTTCATATAGTACTCCTTCTATATCTTATAATAAATGATTTATTTAAAATAAAATAGTGTTTTAAAATGAATGATTCATTTTAATTTTTAATGCATTTTTTTAATTTTAATTTTATTTTTTAATTAATTTTATTTTTATTATTTTCAAATACATAATTAAAAATGTTATAGTAAAAATATTATTTTTCTTTAATTTTTCTATTTTTTTTTAACATATGTGATATAATAGACTGAGTTATTCATTAAGTATTACTAAGATACGACTTTACATTGATGGCTAACTCTTTCGAGAAAAAAGGGTCCCATTTGTATTATTAGCATCATCATCAAACAGAATATAGCATGGTCATTATTCATGGAATTAGGAAAAGTCAGCACATTATAATTTTAAAAAAAAACTAGTCCACAAATTAAGTGCTTGACAACACCAAAAAAAATAAAATAAATAAATAAACAAACGTGTTTGCAACGCCAAGCAAAGGGATCTAATAGAAGCATAGCCTAGTGCCCACCAAAAAAAATCCCAAAAGTTATTATTACAAAAGTTAAAAAAGAAATAGTAATAGTAAAATAACTATAATAACAATAATAGTAATAAGAGTAATAGTAATAATAATAAAAACAAATATTAAATATTGTAAAAATAAAATGAAGAGAAAAGTAGTTGGTCAACAATTTAGGCCAAATTAGCAACCTAATTTGTCTGCTTTAATTTCCGTCGCTTTCATGCTTCCGCCACCCCATGCGACCAACGAAAACCAAAGAAAAGAACATCACTATCTCTTTTCCTACCGGAGATAATCGATTCTCAAGAAGAAGTGCTTGGGAAAAAACCACCTCCTTCTCCTACTCCTCCATGAATATCAGCATTATTAATATTACTATCATTGTTTGGAGGTCTTGGGTTGCTCATAAGTCTCTGAAAAAACAGGTTTTCATCTCCTCCTACGTTGCCAGTGCCAGTGCCACTATACATGTTGTTGTAGTGTTGTTGATATTGTTGAAGCTGTTGTGGATGTTGGTAGAGAGGATGATGAGAGATCATAGTTTGATTCATAGGGTGGGAAGAAGCCCGTGGGCCGGGGCCGAGACCAAGGCCGGCCAGAGTTGAGAAATTTGGTGATGCAGACGATGCTGATGCTGCAAAAGGTGCAATCGGGCCTCCGGTGAACTGTTGCACCATGGCACGGAAATTGGTAGTGTCTGTGTTGAGTAAAGTGGTGGGAGTTCGTCTTGAGGCTCGTGATCTTCTTCGGATAGGCTTCGAGACACGGCCGTCTGGGCCTAGATTGGTGGCGGATGTTGGTGAAGTTGGGTTAATGGTGTCGGGGGGTAAGGTTGTAACGGGGGTGGTGTTGGTAGCAATAGTGGTGTAGTTCGGAGGAGGGGGTTGGTTTGGGAAACTTTGGTGGTAGAATTGGAAAAAATCATTTGGTGGATCGGACATGGTTTGGAACATGTCAAGTGACCGTACAAGGAAAGGAAAGGAAAGAAAGAAGAAGAGTTAGAGGGAAGGAAACATATGTGTCTTGTTGGGTATATATGGTGGATTTTTTTTTTTAATTTATTTTTGGAAATATATTTAGTGTAATACTTTTAGTCAAAAGTGTGAACGTAAGGGGAAATCCTAGTTCGGATTTGGGAAAAACAGTAGTACATTCCTAAGGCGGCACCATTTGATATGACACGTGACATTTGCTTTTCTTTGGAGAATCAAAAGTTGAACTTAATTCTTAGCATCGAATCATACACTCATGTGAATAACATATGTGAATCACGAGTTATTATTTACTATGAAAATATGGGAAATGATTAATTATGTGTAATTCTATTTATATAGTATTGATTTTATAATGGATGCTATATTTTAACAAATATAATGAATATGTTTATCTTTTTTATTAAAATATAATAAAAAATCAATAATAGAAAACTACTGATTTAGTGATGGATGTTAGCGTAGACGCTTTTAGTGCTGTTGGGAGGATTTCTTGGTGAACAAAAAATTTTGTAAAAGAAATTAACACTTTCACGTTTAAATCAAGTAAAAGAATTTAGGTGAAAACTCGTAAGTGTAATGAATCATATTTAGGGGTAATTCAGAGTCACGTTTATATAGAATATGTCGTAGTAATTGTCTTTAAGTTGTCTGATTTGAAGCGCAAATTAGTGTTTTATGATGATCTATTGGCTCATAGTGAAGGGGATACATGCTCTTGTGCGATGATGCGTGAGGTAGGTTTACATGTGTAATAGTGCAATGAATTTTTGAAAAAGATTGGCTTATGTCGATTAGGTCAATAGTATTATGAACCGCGAGGCAATTTGGAAAATTTTCTCCCCAAGTCTTTGTTGTCAACCATGAAGTGATGATCGTTGATATAAGATTATATGAGGTTGTCCCAAAAGTTTGAATTGTAGTGATCTTGTCCGTTGAGTGGACTTTTTACTTAGCGAGGGTGATTGTCATGGGGAACATGCATATCGAATGCGGGCAAAATTGATAAAACATTTTTTTTTACATATATGGCCACCACACGCGTAAGGAGAAAGATGACGCTTTTAGGCACACTCAAGTGAAATTACAATTTCAAGACGTGATTTGGGTTGTTGGATGACTTTTTTGGACTTCTAGTTGGTTATGGTCGTTGAATATAGTTGTTACTTTGCATATAAAGAGTGTACTTATATCTCATTCACATATTTAATTTTCTTTGTTTAAAGGTCTTCTTCAGATAAAACTTATGTTCACTCTGTCTTTGTTGGTGGAGGCTTCCAGATTCAAACTGCTTGTCGGATAAATTGGGTCTTCACTTGATTTCTTCGTGTCATAACTGACAAAAAATATAGAGTCGCCACCATTAATTTTTGTTCTAAGGACGGGGAAATAACGGATAATCCTAATTTATACAGAGATTCTAAATTCGTAAGTCAATTAGACGAAGGAAAGGTGTTAGACACCCTTCATCTCCCTTGTTCTCAAGGGGCTCCACTTTTAGGTTTAAGGGTAAGATGAGTATTTAACAGTCAATGTTCTATATATTTGAGAAAATAATTTTAGATTTTTAGTTGTGAACTCGCTTTGCTTTTAACCGCGTGCCTATGTATCTTCTTATGAAGAATCAGAGTCCAATTTCGTAGTTCGAATGTGTTTAATTAGTTTTTTATGGATTATAGAAATGTTTGAAATTATCCTTGAACCTTGTCTGAGTTTGAAAATAGCGTAATCGTAAACGCAGTTCGCAGTTAATATAAAATGTCTCCACAATCCTTTTTGAAAATAAAATTTAAATTAAATATTTTTAATATTAACCCTATATTTATTTATTAACAATTTTATGATAAAATGCACAAAAATATTTTAATACAATATGCTAAAAAAATAAGATGAGATATTATAAACCAAAATAAACAAAAACAAAATATTAAATTAAGTAAAATTAATTAATAAAATTAACACAGGGATGTATAAATTAAGTCAGGAGGGTGTAAAAATAAAAAGCCTAAGCCCAAAATCAAATCTAAGTCCAAAGGCGCAGGGGGTGTGTTTTTGAACTTAGGTAGTAAAAGGGAGGTTTACATAGCGTTGGGCTTGAGCTCGGAAGTTTGCGCAGAAAGCCCAAACAGACTTTGGGTCTGTTTGGACAACATACGGGGAGGTGCATGCATTATGGTGAGGATAACGAATCAGGCGCGTTGATATGATCCAACAACCCTCAAGATCTAGTCCAGGGGCATTGATTTGCTGGTAATCATAATGGAGGGATAAGATTCAAAGTTGACTGAGGGAGTATTGTAAGCGAAGCACGGGTGACTGGTCAATAATCACCTCATCCAGAGGCTCTCAAGGAGCTACCTGGCGTACATCTAAAGACGGAGAGAGCATAATGAAAACAAAAGTATAAGCTCAATGCTCATTTTTTTTCCTCTCTCTCTCTCTCTCTCTCTATAAACATAACACAACCCTTTATAATTTCTAGAGAGAGAGGCTCTGCCTTCTCTCTAGAATTCCGGCGATCGAAAATTGCCTCCGCCCTGGGCGCCACCGGCCGAAAATCGCTTCCGCTGATGGCCGCTTCAGGGAACCACCACCTTTATCAATCCCCACCGTGAATCTTCAAACCTTTATCCAAACCCTAGCCCAGATTTTCATATCTTCATCTGACCTTCAACCAAAATCTCAGAATCTTTCATATCTTCATCTGGCTTCACAAGAACCTTATGAAGACCAAACCTAACCCTAACAATCTTCATCGAAACTCCCAAAACCCTAAACCTACTCCTTCAACCCTAACCAAATCATCAAAACCTAACATGTTCGTCTCCTAACCCTAACCAAATCACCAAACTCTAACATGTCTTACCTAACCCTAACTCTAAATAAATAAATAAAACAGAAACCCTAATCTAAACAGAAATCATAGAAGAGAAACACCAACCAACATCAACAAAATAAAAACCCTAAGCTAAGTTTTTAGGATTACCGTCCGTGCAGTGAAACTTTTCATAATAAATTTCTCTCCTGGTTTTCCTTCTTCTTCTTCTTCTTCTTCTTCTTCTTCTAATCTCTTTCTCTTTCTTTTTGCAAGTACCTTGAATTGAGAGTTGAGGTAGAGCTCTGAAGAACTTAAGGGTTTCAGTCGTGAAACCCAAGTTTTCAATGAGAAGAGCTTTGGTGAGGGTGAGGTTTGCAAAAAATCAAAAGTTCTCTCTTTAGGGTTTTTTCTTGTTCATCCTTTTTTTGTATTAGTCCTTAGGTTTTTATAGGTATTAAGATAGATTTGTTATAGGAAATTTGTTAGGTGATTAGCGGTTATAGGTTAAAGATTGGTTCTGATTGATTCAATCTTAGGATTTGAGTGTAAATTAGTTGATTCTGTGATGCAAATAGATTTAGGGTTTGTGATTCTTGTAATGAACTTGGACTATAATGTCTCTGTAATTCGTTTTCAGTCAATAAAAACAAATATTTTGATTTGATTTGATCCAAAAGATTTGATTTTTCAAATCTGGAATCCTGGGCTTGGGTGTCTTGGTGAAGAAGACAAAATTGGGCCTATTTTGGGAATTAGGGTTTTACCCTAATGTTGACTTGGTCAACAAATTTTGAAGAATAATAGTAAAAAACAAAAAGTAATAATATAATGTAAATATAAATTGTATAATCATTGGGAGTTGACTCCGGGTCAACCCCTCTTTAATGTGTAATTATATTTTTCTTTTTATCAAAACTAATAATAAAAATAAAAATAAATCAATGTAGTATATGTTGATTTCTTGGCCAACGAAACAAAAAATAATAAGATTGGGCCCTTAACAATAACTATTTGGACTCCAAATAAACCCAACAATATAAAACACCCCCTCCTCGTTTTCTACGTTAAACTCCTTTTTCAATATATACAAAAATTAACATAAATAACTAATGCAAATGTAAATATGAATTAAATAACACTAAAATTAATAGAAAAATAATTAACCATAATAATCTGACCCTTAATACCCACAGGAAAAATTTGGAGTATTGACACTTCGGTCAAATTTCTTTAAACTTAAGGTACTTCTATTTTCTTTCCTTTTTATTTTTGAAATTTTATTTGAGTTTGAACATGGAGAATCCAAAAAAAAACCATTCGCATGTGTATACGGTAGTTGAACTGACTTGGTTGTTTTGCGTTTTATCGTAAATTTTGCGGATAGCAAGAGTCGCTACCGACTTTTATTTTATCCAATAAAGAAAGGGTGAAAAGAACATGAAAGACCTTTTGATAATTTTCTTGAGTTCGGGGGGTAGGTTATAAAGAGAGAAGGTGTTAACACCCTTTTCATTCGTAGTTATCTACGGGCTCTTAATTACTTGATCACTTTTGAAATACTTTTGTGAATGTGTTTGTTTAAAAATATTTAGAAAAGTGTCGTTGTTGGGCAAACTTTGTAATAATTCTCGTTTCTATAAGAATGCATACAAAGTGTTGACTTTGAAAATATTTCAAGAAAGTGTTGGTGTTTTGAAAGATGTTTGTTTTGAAATGTTTGTGAGCAAGCAACTACGAGAGTTCTACCTACTCAAAAGAAAGTATTTGTTCTTTTCCTCCTCCTCTAGATAGTGCTAATCTACCATTGATTGATAAAGAGCCTTATCATTGGATATGAGGGATAGGCGTGGGTTGTCGTACAATCATAGAAGGCAACTTGTGAGACGTTTTAGCAATTGTCGTAAGGGACTAAGATCATTTACCGAAGGCAACATTGAAGGGTCATCGAGGGACTATGATCTTTTGATTGTGGGTCTTTGCTAAAACATCCCACGTTCGAGGAACACGACTGTTTAAATCCGAGGCAACAAGTGTGGGTTACCCTAGATATGCAAGTGTGCAAAGTGTTTTCTTTTCAAGTATAAGTTTGTAAATGAGGGGAGGAAAGCAATAAAGCCCTAATTACTATTACAAACCATTGAAC